AGTAGCAGGCAGGTGTAATAGTAAATATATTGAGTAGTAGCCATAGGTTTTAATGGTAATAATTCATTGGTGAGTTTTAAGAGGGAAGTTTATGTGGAGTGTGGTGAAAGCCAGACAATAAGGAGTCAAGAAGGTTGTTATCAGTGAAGTATCAGTTCAGAAAATAGCAAACATGGCACTAGGTTAGACGCCTGAAGGTAAACAGGTGCAATGAGAAGGGTCTTTTATGGCAAGCCATAGATTTTGCGATTTTCTTTCCTGCAACTACGGGTTGCAGGAAAGAAAATTGCACAATTCCCCCCACCAACACAGTCAGTGTTGATAGGGGAATCCCTGCCGGGGAACTATTGAGTTCTTTCGGTGAAAGGGGTGGGGGGAGCCATCCCTGCTGGTATAACACATTGACTACTGCTAGCGGCTCCAGCCACTGGCAATAATCGCATGCTAAAAAAATCCGATAAACATCTGACATGTTGGTCCTTGCTGAGCTAGCTGAGGTGGAATCCATCTATTTCTGGCTTATGAATCTTTTATAGGTTTGCTAAGTAGAATGCCACTAGTGGAGTACTTAGTGATATCCATAGTTTTATTTCTCATTAATATTTTTTGCTCGTCCGTGCTTATATTATATTGTAACTCTGAGTGTCCGCTTTCATACTTTTCTAAACTGATATTTTCTTAAGTGTTTCATCTCTCTGCCTTCCTTACATGTGAAGGTTAACAGTTCATATGCTGGCTTTACAATTAAGTTTTGTCATACACCTTAAACAATGAAATTTTTACAGCTTCACAGCTATACTTACATGCTGAAAATAGAATTGCACTATTATTGTTAGTAATCTAGCATTATGTTTGTTTCCTTGGAAACCGCAGAACAGGACCTTGAAATAAAGATGTGTCCTATCCTAGCATACAGTAAAACAGTCATTATACCATGTGTAATGACCTCAGGCACTTAGCAAAGAAACTGCATATACCCTGTTGTGACATTTTACAGTAGGAATTTAAATAACATTTCTTGCTACATTGCCGTCAAGTAAAGTCAATACTTTTCCGAAAACGTTTTTGTACCTTTGTTAGAACTGTTAGTTGGCTGATGCAGGAAACAAAAGCTTTCATTTGCAGAAGTATTCTGCAACATAGAAGGCAATTAATGTCACTGTTATCACTTTATAGTCCTTCAATCTATGGAAGGCTTAAATTCTAATGAAAAGACCAAAGAAAGATGATGTGAAGAAAACATAAGGAAAGAGTTTTGATGGCAAGTTAACTAATCAGTAATGAACAGTTGAACATACCCTGGTAAACCCCTTTGAAATCAATAGGAGTGAAATCTTAGGAATTATTAATGGCCATTTTCTAGGCTAATAGGCAAGGGCTGTCAAACAAATGGCATGAGCAGCTGAGAAGTGCTGACTTAAAGGGCAACATTAAAAATATGCAATTGCTTTAAATAACATGCTTGGAGATGCCTTGAAACTGTGCATGGTTTTACAGAACATTACAATTCTCAAGGACAGCCTCAGTGACACCGTACTGTGGCACCACAAAAATTGCATGTGTAATACCTTAGTTTACTTTTTTTGCTATTCATTGGCTTACATACAACAGCAGAACAGTGATATAATTGATTTCCACTCAAACAAAGTCTTTATTAGGTCATTTTTACAAAGACAACTGATTTTATGTGCTTCAATGATAGACCATGTTTCAGAGGTAGAAGTAGCAGAGACAATATAGCTAAAATCTAGCAGAAAGAAAACATGTTAAAGATTTTAACTTCATACAAATTGCCAGTGTCAAAGCATGTTGCATATCATAGCTTGGGATGTTTGTCAGACCACAAACCCACATTCCAGAGATGGGGCAGTTATTATGCTGAACTAAAGAAAAAAAAATCCAGTATTGTGTTTCAGGAACAACACCCAAACATATGGCACAGTGACTAGGAAGTATGTAAATAGTTTGACTGGGGCCTTTGGCAGCAATATAGGAGGTTGAAATAAGTAAATGTTTTAAGAAATAACAATTAGAGTAAGATAATTATTACCTATATATGGCATTGACTCATTGTACATATACAGGTGAAATTCGAAAAATTAGAATATCGTGCAAAAGTTAATTTTTTCACTAATGCAACTTAAAAGGTGAAACTAATATATGAGATAGACTCATTACATGCAAAGCAAGATAGTTCAAGCTGTGATTTGTCATAATTGTGATGATTATGACTTACAGCTTATGAAAACCCCAAATCCACAATCTCAGAAAATTAAAATATTGTGAAAAGGTGCAATATTCTAGGCTCAAAGTGTCCCACTCTAATTAGCTAATTAAGCCATAACACCTGCAAAGGGTGAGCCTTTAAATGGTCTCTCAGTCTGGTTCAGTAGGAATCACAATCATGGGAAAGACTGCTGACCTGACAGTTGTGCAGAAAACCATCATTGACACCCTCCATAAGGAGGAAAAGCCTCAAAAGGTAATTGCAAAAGAAGTTGGATGTTCCCAAAGTGCTGTGTCAAAGCACATTAATATACAGTTATGTGGAAGGAGTGGACTGAGGCTGGAGTCAGTGCAACAAGAGCCACCACACACAGACGGATCCTGGACATGGGCTTCAAATGTCGTATTCCTCTTGTCAAGCCGCTCCTGAACAACAAACCACGTCAAAAGCGTCTTACCTTGGCTAAAGAAAAACAGACCTGGTCTGTTGCTCAGTGGTCCAAAGTCCTCTTTTCTGATGAGAGCAACTTTTGCATTTCATTTGGAAACCAAGGACCCAGAGTATGGAGGAAGAATGGAGAGGCACACACTGCAAGATGTTTGAAGTCTATTGTGAAGTTTCCACAGTCTGTGTTGATTTGGGGAGCCATGTCATCTGCTGGTGTTGGTCCACTGTGCTTCGTTAAGTCCAGGGTCAACGCAGCTGTCTACCAGGAGATTTTGGAGCACTTCATGCTTCCTTCCGCAGACGAGCTTTATGGGGATGCTGACTTCATTTTCCAGCAGGACTTGGCACCTGCCCACACTGCCAGAAGCACCAAAACCTGGTTCAATGACCGTGGGATTACTGTGCTTGATTAGCCAGCAAACTCGCCTGACCTGAACCCCACAGAGAATCTATGGGGCATTGCCAAGAGAAAGATGAGAGACATGAGACCGAACAATGCAGAAGAGCTGAAGGCCACTATTGAAGCATCCTGGTCTTCCATAGCACCTCAGCAGTACCACAGGCTGATAGCTTCCATGCCACGCCGCATTGAGGCAGTAATTGCTGCAAAAGGGGCCCAAACCAAGTACTGAGTACATATGCATGCTTATACTTTTCAGAGGTCCGATATTGTTCTATGTACAATCCTTGTTTTATTGATTGCATGTAATATTCTAATTTTCTGAGATTGTGGATTTGGGGTTTTCATGATCTGTAAGCCATAATCATCACAATTATGACAAATCACGGCTTGAACTATCTTGCTTTGCATGTAATGAGTCTATCTCCTATATTAGTTTCACGTTTTAAGTTGCACTACTGAAATAAATGAACTTTTGCACGATATTCTAATTTTTTGAGTTTCACCTGTACTGTATATTGTACATATAAACTCATTACACATTATACTGTAGATTTGCTGCACAATTGTAATCTTTTTTTAGATAGTTCACTGCAGCCGAAAAAAGAAAATGTTTACTTACAGGACTGAATGAAAGCAATGCATTTTAACAGATTTGGACCACAGATTTAAATCTGTTTGGACAGGGTGCTATTAATGAGAGAAAGTAGATTGCATCGTAAAATAAAAATAAGGTATTTTTTTTCTAGAAGTAGAAAAATATACAGTTTTTATAACAACGCAGCTTGTTTAACCTTTTGAACAGCCAGATAGTTTTCAAGGTAGAGAGAGCAGGCAGGTTGCACCTGGAAATAATAAAAAAAACTATGTTATTAAATTTAATACAGAAAATATTAATACTTTCAAATATATCTTTAAAGATTTTTTGGATAGTCCACCATTTCTGAGAGATTGAGCCGGCAGATTGCATCTGGACATAAAACGGTGGGTTTTTTTCTACAAAATTACAACACCTGATTTTTAAACCTATTTGACAGGCCTGAGGGAGAGGGCTGACGTATTTCATTAATAAGTATACAATTAGACTATTATTCTATAAATATAATCATACCAATTTGCTGCAGAGAATATAACCCTTATTAATAAGAGGTAAAACTGTAAGCAGAGAGTAGGCATATTTGAGCACAGATATATTATATGAAACTGTACATTTTCAAAGGCAGTATATAAAAAATTGAATAGATTTGCTGAACAGATTCTCATCCTTTTCAGTGTGAGACTATTTTGTAGAAAAGAAGAAGCTGTCACACTTAGCAGTGGTAATAATACTACTGCTAAATGTTTTACTTCACTCTGGAAATGGAGTCATTCACACAAAATTCTCCGTGGACTGTTCACAGTCTCCCTCATTATTTCCCCTGCTGATCGAAAGTTGCTAGCCTATATAGTTTGTCTTTTTTCTATATTTCTGTGTTAATGTCAAGTTTCTTGGCTTAATGTTATTATAGCAATTTTTATCTTAAGACCAAATGTTATACAAAATTTTATTCATCTGGAGAAAGGCCAACAAGACAATGCAAATATTACAAACATTAGGAAAATCCCCCAATAAATAATTCCAGCAGCTGGAATCACCCTATCTTCCTTGGGTAGGTTCTACAATTACAAACATATATTCCCAGTGCCCCTAATAATATTACAAAAATGATGGGTATTATTTGTTATGCTTGTGTGAATGTTGAGACATTTGCACAGCAATTTTTTTTTTTTTATGGATACACATTTTTATGTTAAACATTTTTTATTTGTTTTTCCAAAGTTTACATACACTATATTGACAAATGTATTGGGACACCCCTCCAATTCTTTTAATTCAGGTGTTCCAATCCTCCATGGCCACAGGTGTATAAAATCAAGCACTTAGGCATGCCGACTGCTTCTACAAACATTTGTGAAAGAATGGATCACTCTCGGGAGCTCAGTGAATTCAAGCATAGTACCGTGATAGGTTGTCACCTGTGCAATAAGTCCATCTGTGAAATTTCTTTGCTACTAAATATTCCATGGTCAACTGTTAGTGGTATTATAACAAACTGGAAGCAACTGGGAGCAACAGCAACTCAGCCACAAAGTGGTAGGTCACATCAAATGACAGAGTGGAGTCAGCGCATGCTGAAGCTCAGTGTGCAGAGGTCGCCAACTGTGTGCAGAGTCAATAGCTAAAGACCTCCAAACTTTGTGTGGCCAAATTAGCACAACAACAGTACGAAGAGAGCTTCATGGAATGGGTTTCCATGGCCAAGCAGCTTCATCCAAGCCTTACATCACTGAGTGCAATGCAAAATGTCAGATGCAGTGATGTAAAGCACACCGCCACTGGACTCTAGAACAGTAAAGATGTGTTTTCTGGAGTGACTAATCATGCTTCTCTGTCTGGAAATCCAATGGACATGTCTGAGTTTGCCAGTTGCCAGGAGAACAGTACTTGCCTGACTGCATTGTGCCAAGTGTAAAGTTTGGAGGGGGAAGGATTATGGTGTGGAGTTGATTTTCAGGGGTTGGGCTTGGCCTCTTAGTTCCAGTGAAGGGAACTCTTAAGGCGTCAGCATACCCAGACATTTTGGACAATTTCATGCTCCCAACTTTGTGGGAATAGCTTGGGGATGGTCCCTTCCTGTTCCAACATGACTACGCACCAGTGCACAAAGCAAGGTCCATAAAAACATAGATGAGTGAGTTTGGGGTGAAGAAACTTGACTGGCCTGCACAGAGTCCTTACCTCAACCTGAACACCTTTGGGATGAAGTAAAGCGGAGACTGTGAGCCAGGCCTTCTCGTCCGACATCAGTGCCTGACCTCACAAATGCGCTTCCCTTAGACATACTCCTAAACCTTGTGGACAGCTTTCCCAGAAGAGTTGAAGCTGTTATAGCTGCAAAGGCTGGGCGAACTCAATATTGAACTCTACAGACTAAGACTGGGATGCCAAGTTCATGTGTTCTTAAAGACAGGTGTCCCAATACTTTGGAAATATAGTGAAATTCAAAAAGGATAGTGACATACAAGGAAGATACAGAATATGCATCTACAACATACAGTATTTTGTATAATGTAGATGAGCAGCATAAATAATTAAAAAAAAAAGTATTGCGATGCCTACTTTAAATAACCATAGTAGATCTCAACCAACGTTTGACAAACATGGTCTATATAAAATAGTTATATACTGTATCGGTAGCCGAAAGTGTGATAAACAGAAATACATAGCAGCAGTCTAAGGTGTTGTCCAATCTTAATGCAGCACAATTCATCACAACCATTAATAGCCAACACAGTATTTACCAGTAAAAATTGATGATTTTTTAACTCTTGGAAATAGCAGCAGAAAACTAGGTTTAAGGTATCATTAGTGGCAAAATACCAGAACCCAACACAAAAAAATTATGACGAGCAAAGGATAGACCCTGGCAAGAAATGTTACATTTTTTGCAACTCAGAACCAGTTGTAAAAAAATAAAGTGTGCCAAATTAAAAGTGCCATTGCAACAGACTACAGCAAAGGCACCAGTATGAGGTGGTAACTGTAGCAGGCATTCAGTGGTGGTAGTAGATGGTGATAGTGTCAGGCCATCAATATTATAAGGAGGTGTTAATAATGGTAGTGAATGTTCATGGCTACAGAAGATAGCAATGGTGGCAGGTATTTATTTCAGGCCTGTATTGGTAAAAGGAGCATTGGCCAGCCAGTGGTCCATCCTCATTACTCAATACTTCAGAGTGCCAAAGTCTGTAATTTACCCGAAGTAATCAGCCATCTTTTTATGAATCCACTGCTTACAGCTGCTGGCAAAAGGCAGTCCTGGGCACTGGGTACAAAAGAATGTTTTGAAAGCCTTACTTAGACTTTCACTAAACTGCTGCTTCTCCTTTCTGCAAGCCACACTGCCCAAGAAATGGTATACTGCTAGTCTCTGGAATGCAAATACACAGGTTCCTCTACAGCACATCTTTTCTCCTTTCTCCTTATAACAAGGATCCAGGAGGGTGGACAAGCAGTAGTGGTTCCTCTTCTTGATACCATGAATCCTGGAGTTCTTTTGTTGAACATTGGCTGGTGCTGAGGACATATGTCAGACAAGGCACTTGTGCAAACTTTCCCTAGCCCTACTAGTCAGCAAAAGGAACACATTTAAAACAGTGTGAAATGTTCAATTCAGGAAAGTTCTCTACTGAATATGTTTGCAAATGTATCTGGAAGAAGCACACGATTTTGCAAAGTTTCTGTCAAGTGTGGCTCTATTCTAATCTATGTATAAGAAGACCATATCGGGGATGTATATGGAAATAATTAAATTCAAAGTTCACTCCATCCCCTGCTAAAGAGAACCTATCATGAAAGGACTTATACCTTTAGTCTTCAACCCTTTTACCCCAACCACTGTATGCCATAAAAAAAAAAAATAAAATGATATATATATATATTTATATATAAATATATATACACACAGTATATTATATATCATAAACACACACACACACACACACACACACACATATATATATACATACAGTATATTATATATCAAAAACACACAGACACACACATATATATATATATATATATATATATATATATATATATATATATATTAGTATGTATATGTATGTGAAAGATACAGAAATAGAGGAGGCTAGGGGAGGGGGGGGTTACATATAAAATTATAAATCTAATTTAAAGTGGTTACATTTAGATGAGATTTGTTTTTTTTTAGATAATGAATACAAGCCACATTAGTTTAATATAATCAAATCTTGTCACTTGTTATGATTTATGTTATTTTAGTGGGATTATTTACATTAATTAATTTACTTGTGTCAGTATTTATTAAATTGGATTTTTAGTCATCCTGCACCTTGTTACATTTGTGTGGTTCTAGCCTAGAAATCTTACACCTGGCAGCAGAAGGAGGTAATATTTTTTTTACATTCATTAGCAGCTTTCCCACAGTTTTCCTGTTCAAAATATGTCACATTAGGTCACGGATGATGTCATCAAAGGCAGGGAAACCTCTCTCTAAGATTGCATATGCTGCAAGATCCTTCAGAACTATATGGTGCATTTGGGGGACTAGATACACTACTTGACACCCTATTCCCACACACAGACACACACACACACATACACACACACACACACACGCACACACACACACACACACACACACACTGGATTTAGATATTGCTGTAGTGGTTGATAGTGAAACTAAACACATGCAGCTTGAAGTGAAGCAGCCAGACTGACAGCTTACAAATATTAACATCTGCAGTACTGACAGGTATGATTCAACACCCAGTGCTTAGGTTTTGTTACTACTGCTGAGTGTTTATATACTTCCGGGGCAGATGATATAGGTTTGTTCATACTATTTTTGCTGGTTGAACTGCAGTTGCAGAGTGTGGCACATTGAATAAAGGGCCTCAAAAGTTATTAACAACTATGTGGAAGGAAATAAATGTTACACATTGTTAAATATTCATTTACTGGATGCAAAATGCTCTGACCCTGGAACAAAACTGTTTTGCTGAAAAAGCAGATAACCTATGTTCATAATAGTATTGCATAGTGTGGTCTATTGTGATTAAATAACTTATTTCCGTGAAAGTGTACTCATTTGATGAAAGTTAATTACACTGTGTTTTTATGGTGTAAGGCAGGTACTCCAATTTGTGAGAATACCACTGTCCTGTGCAACTCATGCCTCTAACAATAACAATAACAATAACCAAGATTCTCCCACAGATACATCCCTGTCCACTAATTATCCAGAGCATTTTTAGATCCACCCTTAAGCTCAACAATGATTACCTTACATCCTCCACCTGGGGAGCCCATAATAAAAATACAATGCATTTATTTTCTCCAGTATGCCTCAAATGAATAGGGGGCCAAGGAGGTGGCAACAGAAAAAAGATCAACAACCATTTCTAAAGATGCAAAGAGAGTTTACATTTTCAACATGCACACTTGATACAATGTAGAATCTGCTGCCTTAATGCCTTACAGCTAATACCATTCCTAATCTTCTGTATCATCTCTGGAAACAAACATATTGGAAAGTTGTATCAGTACAGATTTTAAACCCTGTTCTACATCCTATTCTGTCCATTTGAAGATACATTTTTCTACCTCGTTCCAGAAGCTAGTTAAGATAGATCTCAATAAATCGCTCAATGAAGAAGGCACGCCTTCATTCTTAAATGAAAAAAATAGTCTTAAAACTCTCAAAGATAATCTGAATATAATTATAAAAAATGCTGACAAGGGCGAGGAGCAGCAATTTAGGACAGGAAAGATGAAATAAAAGAAGCCAAGAAAATTCTGGAGGACAAGACTTACTTTAAGACATTAGAAGCTGAACCTACACAAATCTTTTTTAAAATGTGGATTTTATAGAGGAGGCATTGACACATAACCTCATTAATAAAAATTTAAATTGATTTCTCCTAAATCAAAAACACTACTGTACACTATTTCTCCCCATCTACTGAAAATACACAAATCAGTAACCTATCCCCAGGAAGACCAATGATATCTGGAATAAATTACTTGACCTCCAACCTATAGCTGTTCAATGATTTTCACTTTCAAATATTTGTCAAGTATCTTCCATCATACTTTTTTTAAATTCTGTTTTGTTACGTTTTTAGAAGTAAACAGTGCAATTACAACAATACAAGAATACAGAAACAACATCCAAACAGGCAATATTAAAGAGTTGCTCAGAACCAAACTGCCATCCCTAATAATCCACCCCCTCTGTGGAATAGTAGAACCTCCCTGACCGATCCGTAAAGTGCAAGAGGCAAAATGATATTGTGCATACATAGTTAGGATATTCAGATGGAAAATAATATGTGAGCCCCAAGTGGTGTGTAGCCCTCACAGCAAGGACAAGAGGCATTAAATTATAACAAGCTAACAAAAACAATCTGAGTATATATTAAGCAAGACCTGGGAAATACTTGCACTAGACATTGGCATTTCCTTTCAATAAGATTAGTTTTTTGGACAAACATTTTATTTTCGTCCAAAAAACGAGATTCAGATGTACATCCCCTGGCAAAATGAATGGAATCATCACTCTTGGAAAATGTTCATTCAATGGTGTAATTGTGTAGAAAAAAAAACAACCACAGGCATGCCTCAAAACTATTTTAATTTAACATTCCAACCTTCTGGCTTTAAGAAACACTTAAAAAAAAAACAGATCAAGCAGAGGAAAAAAATATGAAATTATTCAATTCTGGGAAAAATATTATGGAATGACCATGTACTTTGCAGTTCTAAAACAAACATCTACATCAGATTACATCTGCTAATCAGCCT